AAAGAAAGAAAGAAAGAAAGAAAGAAAGAAAGAAAGAAAGAAAGAAAAAGTTAGTTTAAGAGAACTACAGTAAATTCTATGTAATACTAAAACCTGGAGAAATTCTAGAATTTGATATGTAAATACCTTGAAAATAATATGGTGATTGGCAAAAAATTAACATGGAATTGTCAAGAACAAATATTGCCGAACTAAATTCGTTTCAAGTTTTTGATGTAGAACTTCCTTAGTAGATTATGAATATGCTGTAAATGTAATGCTGAGATTTCAGCATTTGGCAAAGTATCCCATCATATTCTGTGTAGCAAACTACTATTATGCCAAATGTTATGGCATTGACATTAAATGAATACATAACTGGTTGAAAGATACACTTAAAAAGTGCTCATCAATAGTTTCTTATCAAATAGGAAGGAGGTACTGGGAAATGACAATGTTTTGTCCTGGACTTTGTGTTTTTAAACATTTTTTAAATTAATGACATAGATGAAAAGATGAGGGCATATTAATGAAATCTATAGATTACACAAAATTAGTGTGTTAACTAATACCCTAAAGACAGAAATAAAATTGCAAAGAATTTTGATAAGCTAGATAAATGATTTGAAAATAACAGAATGAATTTTAACACAAAAAAGCAAGTGAATAGCGCTTGAACCCAAATCGAACATGAAGCAAATGCAAATTTCACTTGCATCAACAAGAATATAAATTCTAAATCATAAGATTCTAAATCATAGTAGAAAAATAAGTATACTTCCAAGGAAGAAATGATAGACTGAAGATGGCTCCATGAAAAACAGAGGCAACAATTTTGTCAAAACGAAGAACTAAGGAATAGACCAGCTCTTTAATAATTCCTTTGTGGACAAAGGGAGGACTTGATATCTCTCATAAGGGCTCTAGACAGTTGCTCTTTGCAAGAAGACCACAAGATAATATTCTCCAATGGGTATAGGGCTCTGGGAGACAAACCATGTAGCTCAAACATTGGTTTGTGCCTTTGAAAGGACATTAGATTTACATACTTTGTTTTCTAGTTACTTTCAGCTTGTTTCAGTTAATCAGAATCTTTGGACTGACAAGTTTTAGATGACATTCCTTCAACCCTTAAGAAGTTTTAAAGTTGGGATATAGGAAGAAGAGGAAGCCTGTATATAAAGAGAAGGCAGAAAGTTACTGAATTTACTTCTGTTGGTTGTGATAAAGGTTGGAGGTCACTTCTTTATATATTTATTTTCTTTTTCTTCTTTCTTTTTCTTTTTCTGCACTTTTTATTCTTTTTTCTATTCACTTTTTTTTCTCTTAAGTGTAGTTTGTATTGGTTTTTTACTACTGTAATCAAATTATCGGTAAAAATTACATTTGAAAAAGCTGAGTGAAAGTCTGGAGATTACTTACTGTCGCAAACATAAGGTTTATCATGGTCATCCATAGAAGAAACATCATTCCTTCGCCTACCACCACCAGAGCCTCGGGCCTAGAATGAAACCAAGGTATTAATGCAAAAACTATGCTTTATAGCTATGCCAAAACACTAAAACTCAACATAATTTCACAAATCATACAATGAACTTTCTGCCTTGTCATCATTATTAGTACACATTCATGAGAAAAGCTGCCCTTGAGCAGATTAACGAATTAACACCAGCTTCTAAATTAAGTCACTTCTGATATTGAGTTGAAGAGCTGCTTGTAGATTCTGCAGAAGAAGAAGCATACATCTTTCTAATCATTGACTCTGGTGGGAAAATGTAGCATTTGGGTCCACATAAATTGGTAGAACAATATCCTTGGGTACTGCTAGGCTCCTCAAATAACATTAGCATGTCTATGCTACACTTGTCCCTATCTAAGTTGCAGTTGCTGGAAATTGGGAAGTTCCCATTTCATTGTTCCACATCGCCTTGGACCATGTGGGAATTGCAACATAGCAACAACGTTCACTCTTTCATATCCTATATGAATTCTCAAAAAGACTACAAAGAATTAGTGAAATGAGGCTTATTAAAATTAAATTAAAATATGTGTTGCTAGAATTAAGAGAGGCAAAAATAAAATAAAATACTTAGTCCCATGTATGTACCTTGATTTCTAAATGTCTCCTTTTTTCAAAGTCGTGGTTGATGGGTTATGTACATTATATTACCACTGAGAAATTGTACTATTAGTGTTATGCATATTGTTTTGCATAATAATTTGCAACCGCACCTAATCTTCACTGAAGTGTATAAAATATCAAGTATACAAAATAGGGTATGAATTGAAAACATCCACATTATCTGTATAATCTGTGTTTTAGAGTCTCAGATTTTAGTGTTCCACCACTTTATAAATCCAAGTTCTTAAGTTGCTTTCTGTGAATTCACATGTCTTTGGCCTTCAAATCTCTTTATCAACATTCCGATAATTTTATACCTGGCCTCAGGGGGTTGGCAAAGAGACAACTAGCCTCGAAGCACAAACTGAGAGCTTCATGCGTGTTCTCATTGCTTCGGTCTGGCATTTAGTCATCTACAGCTGCCTTCAGCTTCTGCCATCGTATAGCAAGAATTCATGCATACAGCTGAAAAGCTTCAGCGGCGCAGCCTTGGAGCACTCAAATGCAGCCAAATGGGAATGCTTGCCAGGAGGACAGATGAAGGAATCCAGGATTAAAAATGAAATCATGCTTTACAAAGAAAGGGACCTGCACAAATTTGGAATGTGTGGCATATTCATTTCTCTGTCTTATTTCTGCCTTGGATCCTTTCCAGTGGTGGGCTGCTACTGGTTCAGACCGGTTCTAGTGAACTGGTAGTTCCGGTGAGCAGTTGGCCCCATCCACCCACCCCTGCCCTTTCCTGTCCTATATTTCCCTGTTTTTTAGCTCAGCTGATTTGCGTGGCACAACGGATTGCCACACCTCAACTGTTTTACTCACCAGCGCTGACATAGAAGGTAAGCTTTTAAGCCGAAAATGGGCGGTTCTTGAACCCTGCACGCACGCGTGAACCGAACTGGTTGTTAAACCGGTTGCAGCCCACCATTGATCCTTTCTTATTAATTCTCTGAAACAATTGATTAGGAACCGACCTTCTAAATATAATTTAGAAGATCCAGGTTGCTTCAGAAAATCTATTGCAAATGGCAGCTTAGTGCAGACAAGGAGAAAGTCCCATTTATTTTAGGAACAAAATCCGGTGTACATAAGCCAGTCACATGTACTGGAAGTATGCCAAGAAGAGAGAGTGTTTGAAGCAAATGATAGTACAGCTTGGAAATGGGTGTGAAAGAATTACAATACATTAAAGCAAGGGTGGGCAAGTTAATGCTTTACTTTTTATAAGCTGCAACAGATAAAGGAACAGGTTTTCCTGTCCAGTCATATCCAACTTTAGGTCATGGTGCTCTTCTCTGTTTCATGGTCAAGGGAGCCAGCGTTTTCTGAAGACATTTTCCATGGTCATGTGGCTAGCATGGCTATATGCTAAAGGTGCACAGAATGCTGTTACCTCCCCACCAAAGTAGTACCTATTAATCTATTTGCATTTGCCTGCTTTCATATGCTAGGTGGGCAAGAGGGGGAGTAAGTAATGAGAGCTCACACACTGCATAGGATTCAGGTCTCAAACTGGGCTGTCAGCTTTTCAGCTGACAAGCTCGGTGTCTTTAAACACTGAGTCACTGTGCCCCCTTTTAAAGCTGCAAGGCCCATCAATTAGGACTAGGCGCAAAACAAGAATGCAATGTCCTTTATTCCATAAGCCATATAGGTAGTCCTTGATTTTCATAGTCCCAAAAGCCTCAGAATGAGTGCTATATGGCCAGTAAAACACTTCCAGGCATTGTAAAACATTGTGCTGTCCTGCCCAATTCACATGACTGCATTTCAGGAACTTGGCAGCCTATTTGCATTTACAACATGTTGCAAAATGCCCTGCAATCACGTGGCCATCATTTGCAATCATTACTGCTGGTTACCCCAAAAAGTCAGTGGAGAAGGCGTGTGGAATGGATGTTGCAGTTGAGATCTATTCTTCCTTGAACGGAGGATTTCTCCTCTCTTCCATGCAGGGAGAGGGGATTCTTCTTTGTGCTGGAGGAACATATTTTCTGCCATTGGGATTACGTTAGAAAGCAGAAATCTAGCAGTATGCACTGTTTTAATTGTTATCGTATTAAAACAATTAAGAACTAAATAGCTCCTGGTGAAGAGTTCTCTGCTGGAAAGATACTCCTGGGACTTTTGGAGGGCTGGGCTTCACTCAGTTCTGAGAGTTCAGTTCACCCCAGTGGGCTGAGACAGCCAAGCAGCAGGAAGAGTAGGAGGTGAGGTGAGCTGCCTGCCTACTGCGTGGGCTTCTTGCCAGGGGACCTGATTAGTGAGAGCCTGCAGCTGGCGCATCATGTGGAGAAGACTGATCAATAGCCAGCTTTCTCCCTTCCCTGAAACTGCCAAGGGAAATTCACACACACACACACACACACACACACACACACACTTTCAGTTGATCTACAGAGAGAAAACCAGCAGCAAATAGTACAAGTTATGTGCCATAATATAATATAATATAATATAATATAATATAATATAATATAATATATATGGGTGCTTTCTACATCATTTCACTTTGTGATGGCTTTATATTAAAGATCAAAGAGCGAAAAACAAAAACACCAGTGAGCCACCCATAGAGAATTTGCAGAAGATACTGATCCAGGGAAAAAATGATTCAAATGTTTAGAAATGTGCAGAAATGACTAGATTAACACTGGAAATTAAAGAAAAAAAAGAATCTGAATATTACATGGTATGGGATTTATTTTACCAATGGTTAGAAAATAAAACAAATTAAAATGGATTAAATGTATACTGTACATAAAGCAATAAGAGAAGGTTGTAAAACAGATATATTGGGTATTACTTATACGAAAATGTGATTATTGTTATATTGTTATATTGATAAGAAGAATATTAATTATAAACTGTAAACACATGAAATATATACCTAATCGACACACAGTTGGAATGAATGGAATTGTTGTAGATAATAAATAAATAAATAAAAAAGAATTTACAGGTGTGAATTAGCTACCACGATTACATGATTAAATGATCATCCTACCATTTTAGAACATACCACATACCACTGTGGGCAATATATAAAAATGTGTAAAAATGAGAATTGGGATTACTCTGGCCTCACCCGCCTCCTTCTTCCCTCAAGGCTAAAGCGACTTACCCGTCCTCGGGCTCTGTTTTTTCGTTTTGGAATATCTTCTTCTATCTCTTCCTCTTCGTTCACTTCATCTGCATTCTCATCGTTTTCCAAAACCCGCTGGAGTTGAAATAATAAACAATAATTAAAAACAAATCCCTGTGCAATGGAAGACCTTTTTGTTTTTTTAGCAGAATTGCAAAGAAAATATATCACAGAAAGAGAGAACTGGGAGAAGCCATTTGTCCAAGCTTCTGTTCTACAGGGACCCAAATTAAATCACCCCTAACCTGATGAAGGGGAGCTCACCATTTTTCTAAGAGATTGGTTTGACTCTCAAATTGCTTTTACTGTTCTAGAAACCATTTTGACATTCAGCTGAAATCTGCCTTTCTATACCTTAAATCTATTAAATTTAAGTTAAATCCACCCTTTAAAATGACAGGGAATAGACCTTTATACCTTTCTGGTGCTTCATCCTTTTAAGTTTTGCAGAGTACTATCATACATCCCCTTTGGTCAAGGATGAACATTATCTCTCCCTTCAACCTCTCTAGGTAAGACTTAATTTCTGGTCCCTGATCAATCTTAATTGCTTTTCCAAAACCTGGTTCAGTTTGTCTGACTCCTTCTTAAAATGGAACCCATAAGGTGATACAGTACTTGAGGCAAAGGCTCAAACATTTTATATCTGGCAATTCCAGAGCAATTTAAAGGATTCTTTTGACATGAACTTATCTGAATCAGAGTTTCAAGTAAGATATAGGTAGCCTAGACTTCATTGTCTTGTTGGGTAACTTATAGTAGAAATTGGATATAGGAGGGAAAATGTAGGTTTCTTTCTATAGGAGCATTATAGCTCCATTCATTCCTTTGGACTTTTAGTCAGTTTTTGATAGCATTAACCTACATTACTTTTCTCTCTCAGAATATTATGAGGTAGTTTGTTTCTAACTTTAAAGTAAAAATAAATGCAATATCTCAGTGAGAAGTGAGGACTAGAAGTGAGTTCTAGTCCTGCCTTAGGCACGAAGCCAACTGGGTGATTTTGAGACAATCTCTCTCTCTCTCTCTCTCTCTCTCTCCCTCTCTCTCTCCCTCTTCCTCTCCCTCTCCCTCTCCCTCCCTCCATTCCTCTCCCTTCCTCTCCCCCCCGCCGCGTGTAAATAGTTCCAATCTTTGCTCTCAGGCCACTTCTAGAAGGTAATGTTGGAAAATTATTATTCAAAGCCCAAGCCACTGATTTTTTTCATACCACAGATTCTGTATGTCAACAAGTACATGAAACTCATAGGGATATCAGCCACAGCATTAAAGTAGATACCATCAGTATGGTGAGAACACACATTGATATTATTCCTTATCATCCAATCCTCTAAAATGTTTACTAGCCGGAATGTCTAATTTCAAGAGGATGAGTAAGAGTACAAGGTTAACTTTGGACAAAGATAGAGGTATTGTTGGTTAATTGCCATGGAGATCACAGTTCAGATTGCTTTAGATAAGAATATTAGTCTGTTTAAAAAAAAACAAGTCCACAATTTAGGAATGCTATTTTATCCCTAGATGACACCGGATTCTCAGGAAGTTGAATTACACAACTTTAGTTGGAATGCTAGCAATTAACAATTCTAATGGCTTAGGATCAACTCATCTTGACTATTGCAGTTTACTTAGGGCTTAGAAACTCTTTTAAGGCCTTCATTGTATGCCTTTACAAAATCTGAAAAAAGTATCTTTATCCAATCTTTTAACATGCAATGATATTACTAGGTATTTTCATTTCCTTGTATAAATTGTTTAATTTTGTAAAAAAACTTGTTTGTGTTTTAAATGATAAATGATAAACCACCTTAAATATTCCATTTGACTGAAAAGAAAAATATAAATCAAGTGCATTTAATCAAGTTTTTCCCCAAGAAATACTTATATTATTTTATTGCCAATATGAGTTGATTATATCAGGGATGCACACTTTTTCTCTTTGGCTGGTCATTAAGTGGAATGCAAACATTTGTGCTCTAAAAAGTATTTGGGGAGAAGGATTCACATACATTCGTGTAAAAATAAATTGGTAAATTCTTTGAAGGATAATTACACTCAATTAATATGATTACTCCTCATTTAATCATTTTTCTTTGCTGCATTTTCCATACTAGATAATATAGCAAAATGGATGAATGAATGGTGAATAAAATTTGTTGGCAATTTTTGTAGTGCCACCTGCAGCTGTGTTCAATGCTTCTGAGGACCTCATGCAGTCTTAGGACCTCAAGTTGTGAGCTTTTTCTGTCCCAGATGGAAGAAACATGCTTTAGAAAGGTTAATTTGGAAATAAAAATACATCAGAGCAACAGCTAAATAAGGTGGTAAAGAAGCTGTAAGTTGACAATGGAAGCCTCCCTGTTCTAAAGATATTTCTTCCACCTCCCAGCTAGAAGGGATCTGTTTTACAAGTGCTTATTGCTAACACGAATATCTGTCTCCAAAATGACACTTTCCGTTCCTGTCACTTTTTATGCAATGGTTTTACAAAATTCTGAACTATTTATTTATTCAATCCATCTGGGCTCCAGGCAATCTTCTTACAGGCAACACATTTAATCTGAAAATAAAGATTAATTAGCCTATTTACACATGCACACACTTTCTTACAGTTTATGAACCGAAAATATGAGGAGATTACCTGGATTTCTTGTAGAGTATCCTCCTCTTTAGTATCTATCTTTTTCTCAAGCCCTTCTCCACGCAACAAGGCTTCCAGTGTGGTCCCTTCTGATGTGAAGCCATCCTTCTTCAGAGGCAGATCAACTTCTGAAAAATCAAACAAGAATGGCTACTATTATTTCCTTAGAGTAAGCAACAAGATGATGGATAGAATATCATAGAGTTTTCAGTCTATTCACAAGCAAGAGCAAATGTCTTTAAACATTGAGCGATACAATCATTATTTTGACATGTTAATATATACAAAAGTCAAATTTGAACTCCATGAACTAGCCTTACTCGTAAAATATTGTCATCTCTTACCAATACTGATTTTTTTCCAAGAAACATTAATGTAAATATTTGTTTAGTTGATCATTTGAAAAGTGCTTTTTATGTGGAAACAGCTCTTAGTTGGTGTGACATCAGGTTATCTTGTCTAGTCTACAAATAAAACAGTTTAACCTCGTTAGTAGTTGGAGGTGAAAGCTCCAGAAATACTAAGAAATATACACTGTACTCAATGATTGAAAAAGATTTTGGGAAATGGCCAATGGCAAACTACTTTGGTTATTGCTGACAAGAAAACGGAGTGGTCATGGCCATGAAGTAACAGGAAATTGAGCTCACCACAAAGAGACGTCATTTTTTTATATTATCAAACAATGAAAAATACAGCATCCCTTTTGACATGAAGCCTAGATGATCAGGAGATTCCATCACTTTTCTTTTGCCCAAATAATCTCTTACCCAAATAATACCCAAATGTATCACCTAATCAGCCTTATCCTTTAGACCAGGTATGGGATTCAAATTTTGTAACAACCGATTCTGTGGACATGGCTAGGTGGGTGGCCATGTGACTGGGTGGATGTGGTTTCTTTTGGGGGGTAGCATACACCCATCCCATTTTTAGGGCCTTCTGAGCCTCATGGAAGCCTTCTAGGGGAGCGTTTTTGCTCCCAAAGGCTCCTCTGGGGCTCAGGAAGGAAAAAATGGAGCACGGGGGGGGGACACAGCACCCCCCTGTGCTCCATTTTGGGGCCTTCCGGGCCTCAGGGGAGCCTCCCAGGGGTGTTTTTGCTCCCAGGAAGCTTCCCTGGAGTCCAGGAAGCCAAAAAACGGAGCCTGGGGAAGGTGCAGCTCCCACTCACACTCTGTTTAGGGACTGCCTAGGCATCCGGGAAGCCTCCTGGGGGTTGTTTTTGTTCCCAGAAGGCTTTCCTGGGGTTCAGGAAGGAAAAAACAGAGCATGGGGGCTCTACACAGCAACCCCATGCACTCCATTTTGGGACCTTCTGGGCCGCAGGGAAGCCTCCCGGGCGAAGCACTAAGTAAGCAAGGGGAATCCCAGCACAGCTGATCATAGAAACAGCTGATAGTTGGGAGGGGGGGAAAAGAAATATCTTAAGAAGTGACTAGGCAGGGAAGTCAGTGATATCGGGCATACACACAATATTGCGCATGTGCGATAAGGACCGACTGGGAGGGGAGGCGCAGGCAGAGAGGGGAGGGGTGAGCCAGGGGCACAATTTGCTGGTTCTCTGAACTGTGCAGAATCATAACAACCAGTTCAATAGAACCAGTCTGAACCGGTAAAATCCCACCCTGTTTCAGACCTTTGGTGCCACACACTAAATAAATGCCACACTGGAAATCAATATTAAACAGTTCCCTGAATTGAATGGCTCTCTCTGACGAAATATTTATGTGCAGCTTCAAAAACTGAATAAGCTCATCTACCGTCTACCCAAACTTTGCAAAAATATATATATACATAGGACAGCAACTGTACCGCACAGAGAAAAATTCCTGCTTCCTGTGACAAATGCCTGCACATACTAGCATAATCCAAGGAAAGTCACCAGCCATGGTGGTAGTAGTGGTGGTACTAATGCATTCTTCTAGTCGGTTTAAAATGCCATAATTGGGATAAAATTCAACAGCCTGCAGCTGGATTCTTATTGTGCAAAGGACTTTTCTCTCCCCATCCCTCTCCTTCAGGCTTCCCAAAACTGCTTTGGAGGGTCACAATGTTTTGCAAGTAGAGTCTGAGGACATTTATGGGCTTTTTTCAGTGGGAAGGAGTTAACTGGATTTTTTTTCCCCCAAAAAAAGCCTCCTTTGAGTCAGGCTTGAATTCTGGTAACTTTACAGACACAAAAATAGTATCTTCTTCCAAGATGTTCCAGTCTTTTTCCTCCTCCAGTCTAGACATCTGGGAATTCCCACAGATGTCCCATCCAATTATTAACTAGCCTCCGGTTTATTAACTAGCCCAGGCACTACTTAGCTACTGAGCACAGACTCAATTGGGTAGATGCCATAACCAGAGTTAAACCAGGTAATAGGATGTCACCTTTTATGGCCAAGCACCAATTTGTATTTGAATGTTGGTAACATATCATTAAATATTATCAATTTTCCACTCAAATATTGGTGTATTAAAACAAACAAATCTGTTTCTATGTATTTTTATAGCTATTAAGCTCATTCCACTCTGCTTTGAGAACTGATACCTGATCACATTCCACCACCACCACCACCCATACACAAATGCTGTTTCACACACATTGTCATTTCAACCCTAGATGCTTCCTGCCGAAATTCACAGCATACCGGTAAATAACTTTTCCTGTTCTCTCCTCCAGGGTCAAGGGTGAAAAGAAACAAAGAATAAATCCTTCCTACAAACAGTATTGTTTTGGAAAAAAGGAGTGTATCATTTCAGCATCGTAAAAACTTCCCCTTATATTGTTCTGTACCAAATATAGAATTAGGGGAGAGAACTTTACATTCTTTCTTATTGTGCAGGAGGGGGTGTTTGTTTGATTCATGTCTTTTTTTTCTCTATGTTTTGCCCATAAAAAGTTTCTTCTCTTTTTGTTTGTTTTTGTTAATACAGTCTAAACTGGCAAAAGGCAAAAGATCAAAAGCCAATCTGTTTCTATATGACTGGTGAGAAATTAAAATGGATGAAGATCAATGCCAAATAGTGTAGATGACAGTGTTTAGGCTTCAGAATGTTAGGACCAGGCCTCAACCTTCTCTAAGTCACCTTCAAAGATGTGTCTCTTACTTGAGGAAGACAAGGACTCCATGGAGGACTGGTAATAGCCAACATCTCTCAAACGAATATGTCATGACAATAGACTAATATCAATCTGAAGCAATTATTTCACCGTTATATTTTTCTATATAATTTTATAATATTTTACTGCATAAGAAAAGAATACACACAATACAGCTCCCTTTCTGTCACTTGTGAGACTGTGAAAAATAAAAAAGCAATTCAACTTCCAAAAGAAATACAGGGGGTATTTTTAGTGGGTAGAGGGGAGGAGGAGTGCCTTCAGGTCAACACTGATTCCTGGTGATTGTCTGGTCCCTACAGTCTTTTTGGCAAAATTTCAAAAGTGGTTTGCCACTGACTGTTTTCCGGGGTTGACAAAGAGTGACTCAGGGTCCCCCAACTGGCTTCATGTCTAAGGCAGAACTAGAATACACAGTCTCCTAATTTCAGGCCTAATGCCTTAAACCACTGCATTCAATTGGTTCCCAAAGAAATGCTTTACACAATGCACATATAAATAGTTTGTCACTTGGATTCCTCGGACCAGTTTATTTTCATAAGCTCTACACTTTAGCTGATTCTGATAGATAACCATTTAACATGGCAGACCTCTTAACAGTTTTTTAAAAATTGAAATGCATGAAATGCTTGGCACATCAGAGATCTACTGCTGGGTGAATGTAACCACACAGCTCATTAACAAAACAAGGCAGAAAGTGCCTTAAAGGGCAACTGAGAGCCTCAATGAGCAATTACATCTCACGTCAGTTCCAAATTAGAATCTATCAACATCACAAGGGTATGAAATACCAGCTTCATTTCTGCTTCCCATTCTTCCCATTTTTATTTTATGGAAAGTATTTATGGCATTTATTCAAAACAACAAGTCGGAAAGACAATCATGAGGTATGCCAGGGGAAGGGGAAAAAACAGATTCAGCTTATTCTGCTGGGAAATACACACACACACACACAGAGAGAGAGAGAGAGAGAGAGAGAGATTGTCTGCTAGCTGTCGAGTTTGCAAAAGATACCATCTTCTGGGATGGTGCTCTCTGCCAGCAGCTGGAAGGCCCCAAGGGAAATGGTGGTAGAGAATCCAGGCAAGCTGCATCCATCCATCATGTTGCTCATTTCCACATCTCCAAGGCATAAATGCAACATTAGAATGCAAAACAAGGGATAAAGTTTTAGAGGTGGGGGAGGAAGAAAGTAGTATAAACATTCTTCCTTGAGTAGTTGATAGTTTAGATAAATGATGATGTCATAGGAATATAATATTGTGGAGTCTTTTTGTTTTAGCACTATACAAACTCCATATAGAGAAGGATTTTTATGGACTTATATTAGCTTCAGAAGCCCCGAAAATCAAACTAACAGTCTCCACATTGTCTTGTAACACTCATTCAATGCATTTGTCTTCCAATGTTAACCAACCTTGACTTTACCCAAACTAGCCACTCTAGATTTCTGCAAATTATTCTTGGGACATACATGTCCCACCAGTCTCCTGCCCACAAACATTAATATTGTCCTCTGCTTATCCTCTGCAAGCAACAATGTTTTTGCTTGCAGGCCTCTTCCCAAAGGTTAGTAAAAAAAAAAAAATGAAGTCTGGAAATTTTATCATATTCTTAAGAAAAAAATGGTAGATCTTTTATAAAATGAATAATGCTCAAGGGTAGTTCAAAGCAAGCTAAATTTTGCCCTCATTGTCCTTATAGATCTTTTTACTATAGAATAATTATTCAAATAAGCAGTTCTTGCAATTTTGGATATTACTGAAATAAGTAAGATTTAGAAATGAGAGATTCTACACAAGGAAGAATTGTTGTCCATCTGAAATTCTACTTACCCATTGCATATTATGGATGAGAGGAAAAAGATATACATGTTTCTGTTTCAGATATAATGATGAGAGATCTCTTTGCGGTTTTGTATTCATTATGAGTTTCATAAATTGTACTTATCCAGAAAAAGACCAAGCAATGTATAAAACTACAAAACCACAAAACACACAAGGGAGAATCATCCAG